CCTTTGTTGCCACCGGAATCCATCCCATCAACCACCCTTAAATCAGTTGTGCATTATATATGTTGTATAGTTATTATAAGACAGTATAAGTTAACAATTCTCTTAAAATCTGTTATGGAGTTAAGCTTGATATCGTGTACGTAATACACAACTGATTTAGGGGTAGTTGACGGGGTGGATTCCGGTGGTAGAAAAGGGTATCAATAGTTGTTATAAGTCAATATAAATATACTTTTAACAATTTACTTAAAATCCATTATAGCTTTAAGCTTGATATCGGGCATACAAGACACAACTGAATTAAGGGTAGTTGACTGGGTGAATTCCGGTGGCAAAAAAATGTATCAATAGTTATGTCAATACAAATATAATTTTAACAATTTACTTAAAATCCATTATGGCTTTAAGCTTGATAACGGGGAAATAATAAACAACTGACTTAAGGACGTTCGATACATCTCTTGCGGGGTAGGCCGTGCGGGAGGGAAGCCTATGCTTATACACGGTAGTTTCGTTGTAGTACCAACCTTACATAAACTAATTTGAGAGAACTAAATATAATATATACGAGTGAAATTTATACAACACATATTAGCTTGCATATATTTTTCGTGTTTAATGCACGGCAATTAACTTTTTATTTGAATATAAGTGTCTATTTATTTATTAAGAGCATGTAAAATACTGGATGAAATCTGGCAACAGTGCCATTGCCATGCCGTAGTGGTAAAAGTTGGGTCAACTGTCATTACTGTCAACTGTGCTTTGCACATATTCCGTAAACTTGATGAACATCCAAGATACAAAGGAAAAGCAATATAAAATGCGTATGAAACATAATATGGATTTATGAGAAAAAAGTAAAATGTGCAAACCGAGAATCTATATGATAACTATCAAGAAGCTCAGTGTATGATAGTGAGACGTCGCCTTGTCAAATTGAAGATTATGACAGAACACCTATACTGTTCGTTTTGCAAAAAGATCATTTCAATTTTTGTTTCAAATTGCTATTATATTGCATTAGATCACGAAAAATTTATTTAATATTAATTATTACTACATATGTTTTCGACTGGAATAATTTTATAGTCTACTAGGTTGACCCGGCAAACGTTGTTTTGCCATATAAATTAATCCTAGGATTATTTTAGTAGATTTTTCATAAAAAAATTTCACTTCTACCATCTATATTATATTTAGTGTTATTCAGTGTATATCGTGTATATATTTTTTTTATGAATGGTAATAGTAAATGTCATTATTATGGTTGATGCACAAACAATAATAATAATGGCCGAAAACTGTAGAGAGTGAGAAACGGCTCATTGTGTGAAAGAGATCCCATCCCTACTCCGTGCTGTTTACTGGGTCAGAAGTGACACCGGTCGACGCCTATAATTGATCAGTTATCGACCGGGGTTGAAAATTATTGAATTACTAATATCGCTATTAAAAAATAAGGGTTGATGGTAGAAGGGTGAAAATTTAGGATTGTATGTATTTTTTAAGGCCACATAAAAAAATAAAAAAATAAAATTTTGTCCAAAAAACAAAAAAAATTTTTTTAAATTTACTTAAAATCTATTATGGCTTTAAGCTTGATAACGAGGAAATAATAAACAACTGATTTAAGGGTTGTTGATGGGGTGGATTCCGGTGGCAACAAAGGGTATTAATAGTTATCATAAGTATATATAAATATAATTTTAACAATTTACTCAAAATCTATTATGGCTTTAAGCTTGATAACGGGGAAATAATAAACAACTGACTCAAGGGTTGTTGTTGGGGTGGATTCCGTTGGCAACAAAGGATATTAATAGTTGTCATAAGTCAATATAAATATAATTTTAACAATTTACTTAAAATCTATTATGGCTTTAAGCTTGATAACGAGGAAATAATAAACAACTGATTTAAGGGTTGTTGATGGGGTGGATTCCGATGGCAACAAATGGTATTAATAGTTATCATAAGTCAATATAAATATAATTTTAACAATTTACTTAAAATCTATTATGGCTTTAAGTTTGATAACGAGAAAATAATAAACAACTGATTTAAGGGTTGTTGATGGGGTGGATTCCGATGGCAACAAAGGGTATTAATAGTTATCATAAGTCAATATAAATATAATTTTAACAATTTACTTAAAATCTATTATGGCTTTCAGCTTGATAACGGGGAAATAATAAACAACTGATTTAAGGGTTGTTGTTGGGGTGGATTCCGGTGGCAACAAAGGATATTAATAGTTGTCATCTGTCAATATAAATATAATTTTTACAATTTACTTAAAATCTATTATGGCTTTAAGCTTGATAACGGGGAAATAATACACAACTGATGTAAGGGCTGTTGATGGGGTGGATTCCGGTGGCAACAATTGATATTAATGGTAGTTGTAAGTCAATACAAATATAATTTTAACAATTTACTTAAAATTTATTATGGCTTTCAGCCTTATACAGGGGATATAAGATATTACCTGTTTAAGGGTAGTTGACGGGGTGGGTTCTGATGGCAATGAAGGGCAGTAATAGTATTTATAAATCAATATAGATGTTATCGTAAAATTTTAAGGCAGATTTAATGTGATAGCGGACTTGATATTTGGAATAGAATACATGACCTTTCCAAGGGTAGTTCATAGTGATAGGGAAGTTTCCGGTGGCAACAAAGGGCGGCAATAGGTTTTGTAAATGGATGTAAATGAAACGTAAACTTTTTAAATCAAATTTAACGTGGCTTTTTAAGCTTGATTGGAGATATAAATAATGACAGTTTTAAGGGTTGTTGACAGGGTGTCTTCCGATAGTGACAAAAGGTTTCTTAAAAATCAGTATAAAAGTAATGTTAACAACCTATGTCAAATATAGAGTGGTACGGGGCTAATTTTCTAAAATACATGTAACTACGTTTTAAGGGTGGTTAATATGGGGGTGGCTTCCGATGATGGGGAAGTATTGTTTTCGTTTACAGAAGTCAGAATTTAGTTGGTAAAATCATTTTAAATAAGATTAAACGTGATATTACGGGATTTCATTTTCGTTCAAACGAACGTTCGGAACTTCAGGTACATTCAAGAACTGCAAAGGGCGGGGCAAAGGGTGTCCTTTAACTTTCTTTGTTGAATTAACCTTTGTTGTAGAAACAACGGTGGTCCTTTTGAACAGTTCCTATTACTAAAGTTGTACTAAATTTAATAAAATTAACTTTGTTGCTTTTATCTCCAGCATTTTTTATTGTATTTGATTGTTTTTACTAATTATCTTGATAAAATTAGGCATGTTGTAAATAACTTGTGGTATATCTTATCGTAGTAAACACTCATTAAGAATTGGTAGATACAATGAATTAAAGATCAAACTAAAATTACATCAACCTACAAAATCAGTGCCTACTAGCACTATTTAAATATTATAATATGGGTGGCAAGAAAATGTAGCATTTAAAAAATATTTTTTTATACCCAAACCGCTTGTTTAATCAAAATTTTACAAGGGACCCAAATACTTCCAAATGGTATCACCTATCAAATAAAAAATTGTTGTCATAATAATGAGGCAATAGCCCAAAAGAGGAAAAAGTTATGAACGGATATTATCACCATACATCAATTTTATAAGTGTAAGTCTTAAAAAAAACTGTATAACCACAAAAGGTTTAGATTAAAAGTAAAAGTCCACACCCCAAAAATAATCAAAATCGATTAATACATATTCGAGTTATTTAAAAAATTCAAAAAATTTTCACCAAGTTTGAGGTCATCTAGCGACCAAATGAACCGATTTCGGATATAGGTGAATTAGCCTAAATCGGCCTATTTTGAGTTCACGAATCTGTGGTCTTTCGTTGTACAAGTTATTATGGGACACCCTGTATAAAAAAGTTACTGAAATACAAATTCTTTTGGTCTCTACACTGGTAATACCAAATCGACTAGTTAACACACTGTAACTTATACCCCTCTCAGGATAAACACCAACATCTTTAAATACCAGCTAGGTACTTCAAAAACTTTATCTGAACAGGTTCAACAAGTGTCTTTTGTATATTACAAAAAGGATACCAAACAAGCAGTGCATACTCCAATCTAGAACGTACATACGCAAAATATAAAGTTTTAATAGCATTTATGTCTGTAAATTGCTTACAGTTTCTTAATATAAATCCATACAATTTTAACGCTTCATTTATTTGAAGGACTAAATGATCAGTAAAAGAAAATTTTGTGTCAAACAATACACTCAAATCCTTGCAAGACTCACACCAGGATAACACAATATTATCAATACTATAATTAAATTTATGGACCGATAACTTTCCGGAAAAACTTAAGATCTTACACTTGGATGAGTTAAGATGTAATCTATTTTCAACACATCAGGATTGTATAATGTCAAATTCTTTCTGCAAATTATTACAATCTTCAAGACTAGTTACGGATAAATCATCTGCATACAATCAATAACTTAATACGACAGCTGATGATTTCATTTAGATCATTAATGAACAAAACAAACAGTAATGGATCAAGTGTAAAACCCTAAGGTACTCCAGAGGTTGCTAAGAGGTAGAACCAAACCATTGTAACTAACATAGTACATTCAATTGCACTGATAAAATCAATAAATTCGTTAGAAAAACAAAGCTTGCCAGTTTATAAAGTAAAACCTTGTGATGTATCCTATCAAAAGCCCTCGAAAAATCTCTATAAAGCACATCTACATGTCCTCTATTATCTAAAATCTAAAAAAAGCTCTTGGCAAATTATAATTTCCTCATCTTTGAGACGTCGTACAGACTTGTTCGAGGGCTTATTTTACTCGTGAAGAGTTGTACTACAACGTACTCAATAAAGGAACATTTGATTATTAAAGTGTAAATTGTTATGTTGAAAATAATGCCTTTTTAATATTAAATGTTAAATGGCAAATTTTACAGATAAAATTTTCACATCGATTATTTAACCTAATACATTATTATTTACTTACAACAAACTTTGGATATTCAAACATATAAGTCATCTCACATTTATTTTCTTCAAAATCGCTTAGAAAAATTACTAATCCAATACCATAGACAATTACAAAGATTAGGCAAATACATGTAAATCCATTTATAGGGCACATTTTATTAATTATTAATCTATATAGGTATATATATAACCTAATAAACTACTGAACTCGCCGACCATGGAGACTACACAAGGAACCCGAAATCAATGGTTGCGTTCATCACGCCATTATTCCATGGCTAGAAATTGGCCTCAATGATTTGGGATCGAGGGGGATTATCCCTCTTTATCCTGCCTCATCTCGTGTAGGCCTGGACAGCCTTCGTAGGTGGGCCCCATCCGTCGTCTACCCCGACCGCAAATGCGGCCGGTGTAGGCGCTTTGTGGGACCTCCTTTTGTCCTGGCTGGGCCCCGCCGGCTAGGGCCCTTTCTTCTGGCGCTCTTCTTGCTTCGCCGGCTCGTCTGTGTAAACCCCGGGGGTAGTGTCATGTTTATGTGTGGTATGGTTGGGTAGGGTAGTGCGGCTATGCAGCCTGGGATGCGCTTTGCTAAGGTGGCCCTTAGGCTAGCGCGGGAGGGGAGGGTTAAGGAGGGTATGGGGGGTGTGTATGTGTGTGTGTGTGTGTCGTTGTCTTCGTTTCTTGATCCTGGCTGTCTCTGAAACAGAAAAGGTTAGCGGGCAGGGGGGGGGGTCATTGGGGTGGTCACCCAGGGTCAAAAAGTTGGTGTCTAGGTCTTTTGTGTTTGTCGGTCACGTCGGGTACGTAGTCAACGGCTTGCCTGAGGAGGGGATTGTCATGTCTAGCGGCTACGTCAAATCGTTTCTCCGCGTTTTGTCTTATTGTCTGTGTAGCGTTTGTGTATTGTAAGTCTCGTAATATGTCAGTGTTTCTTACGTACCAGGGCGCGTCGGTGGCCGTGCGGAGGGCTATGTTTTCCACAGCCTGTAATGACTTTAAGTGGCTTTTTGCCGCGTGACCCCACGCCGTGGAGGCGTAGGTTAGCTGCGGTTGAAGTACCACCTTGATAAGCGTTCGCTTATTCCTTAAACTGAGGGTGTTTCCACCTTTGAGTAAGGGATAGAGCCTAGCCCTGGTGGTCTTCGCTCGCGCCACCGTCTCCACGATGTGCGGTTTCCACGTGAGACGCTGGTCCATCGTCACGCCCAGGTATCGTGTTTGTCGATTCCAGGAGATAGGTTCCTGGGATAGTGTCAGTCTGTCGAGGTTTTGTGGGATTTTTCGTTTGGTAAAAAGGATAGCCGAACTTTTGTTGGGATTAATTTTGACTTTCCACCTGTTGCACCAGGTTTCAAGTTGGTCTAAGGAGCTTTGGAGGAGGTAGACGGAATATCTAGGATCTACGGATTGGGATGTGATTGTCAGGTCGTCGGCGTATAAGTATATGTTGGTGTTGGGGGGATGTGGGATGTCGGAGTTGTAAATGGTGTATAGGTGTGGGGACAGGACGGTGCCCTGGGGGACACCGGCCTCCATGGGACGGGTGGTGGAAAGGGAATCTTGGATTTGGATGCGGAATTTTCGGTGGTGTAGGTAGGATTTTATGAGTTTGGTAAAGGATATGGGATATTGGTTGGTGAGCATTTTCATCAGTAGGCCTTCACGCCAAACCTTATCGAAGGCCTTTGCGACGTCCAGGAAGACAGCACCAGTGTACTGTCCCCTGTTGAAGGCCGCCGTGATGTGCTCGGTAAGGCGAAGGATTTGGAGTTCAGTGGAGTGATTGGGTCGGAAGGCGAACTGCTCGTCTGGAATGACTTGCAGTTCTTGGGAGTGGGTTCTTAGACGGGTTAGGATAATTTTTTCTACCACTTTGCTCATAGCCGGGAGCAGGCTAATGGGCCGGTAGTTGGATGGGATGGTGTGATTTTTGTTGGGTTTTGGGATAAGGATTATGTTTGCCGTTTTCCAGCGGGTAGGGAAGTGTCTTAGTCTGAGTGTCGCGTTTGTTATGTTTAGTAGGGCCATGAGGCCCTTGTGTGGTAGTCGTTTAAGTGTCGTGTTGTGTATATTGTCGGGTCCGGGGGCTTTTCTGTTTTTAAGTCTGCGTATAGTCAGTATTAGTTCGTCAGGAGATGCGGGGGCGATTATGTCTTTATCTAGCTCTCTGTCGAATCAGGGCCGCCGCGCCCGGTTGGGAGGGTGTCGTGTCTGTGCGTGCGTGTGGTGAGGGGTTGTGTTTTTGTTTTTGCGTGTTTTGTGTTTTTCTGGTCATGTCAGCGTATGTGCGTCCCGAGGTTGTGTTTGGGGTGGGTAGGAGGGGCTGTCTGTGTGTTTGTGTAGTGTTTTGTGTCGTGTGTGTGTCTGTGTTTTGTGTTTTTGTGTTTTTAGCTTTGGGGTACTGAGGGCACCCCATATAGCTTGCGGGGTGTGGCCCGGCGCAATTTGCACACCTGGCGCGCGTGTCTTTGGCCTTTTTGCAGACGTGCGTGCTGTGGTATTCGCCACATTTTACACAATTTGGCTCAGCTGTGCACCGGGTCTGGCCGTGGACGAACCGCTGGCACCGGTGGCACTGTGTGGCAACCCGCTGCTTTCGCTGCAGCTCTACTCGAACCACGAGCGAGCAGCAGCGGGGTACCTTCAGGCTGTCCTCCTGGTCCTGTGGGGCCTGAACTAGGACCAGGGGCATTTCCTGTTTATTTTGACGGCTCGCCATGCGGTGCACTATTGCGCCGGGGAACCCTTGTCTTGCGAGGTCGAGTTGGACCTCACTTGGCGAAACACCCGCAGGTATTCCGCGTATCACCACCCTCAGCGTTTTTTCTTCGCTGAGGGTGAAGGTGTGGTACTCCTCGCCTTTGTCTGTCAGTGTCTTTGTCAATAGTCTGTGGTCATTAGGTGTGTTTGGGTATATGGCTATACCGTCTTTAGTCAATTTGGCTTTTGTGTAGTTAATGTTAAGTGTCGTGAGTATTTTTTGTACTTGCGTCCACCGTTCTTGCTTTCGCAAGATTACCGGGGGGACTTGTTTGGTTTTGTCTGTCTGTTGTTGTGTGTTTTGTGGGGTGTTTTGTAGGGCGCTTGTGGAGGGTTTAGGTGTCGGGGGGCGCGTGTTTGGTGTTTGTGGTCGTGTTTTGTTTGTTTTGTCTGATTTTTTATGTCTGGGGGCTTCGTCCTCGCTAGAGGATTCCGCTGTGTGTTTTTTGCGTTTCTCTGTGCGTGTGTGTGTGTGGGGTGTGTGTGTGGGGGGTGTGTGTGTGTGCCTGTCTGGGGTATATTGTCTGTCATTTGTTTGTTAATGAGTTTGTCAAGTTTTTGGTGTAATTTAGTGGTGTTTTCGTCCGAAAGTTTAATTGTTTTTTGCAAATCGACGATTTGCTGTGTCATGGTTAGTATTTGTTGGTATTGTCGGGTGTTTTGTTCTGTCAGTTCGTGTATTTGTTGTTTTAGCGTCTCGTTTTCATGTTTTTGTGTTTGTAACTGTTCGTATAAATCTGTTTTAGTTGGTCATGTTTTTTGGTGAAGCGGAGACTCTTGAAGAGGGTCTTTCGCTGTCTGTATCGTCCATGTATATGTATATGTTCTCCTCGTTTTCGGAGTCCGACATTGTGTGCGTGTGTGGTGTGTGTGTGTGTGTGTGTGCGTGTGTATGAGGGTGTGTACGTGTTAGTCGTGTGGGGATGCCCCCTTACGGGGGCGTACGTGTCTTTTGGGTTATTTGTCTGTCTGGTATATTGTTTGTCAGGGGTCGCAATTTTAAAGAAATGCATTCTAAAATAATACAAATAACTGATAAATAAGTAAAAATTTACCTAGGCATAACCCCGGGACAGGTACCTGCGACAAAGATGCCGACGGCCTCTATGCTTAAGCTGGGGATTAGGTCGGTGATTAAAAGGAAAGAAAGGGATTCTTTCCAGGTAGCCTTAATAAAGGCAGGTAGATTTTGTTCGTTGCACTCACTTCACCTCACAAACAAAAACGTCTGCTCAGCTCGGCTGTTCGCTCTGAACTGATACTTGATACATGATCAGTGATCATAATCACAGAACATAAATAAATAAGTAATTACTTATTTCTCATGTTTATAAACAGACCTGAAATGCTCGTCGTGACATCCGAAAATGTTCTTTAAACAGATCATTTGTTTGAGGAATCGTAACTTCAAAAAAATTTTCATTCCTAGTACGTTGGCCCCTTGGTTCCACTCTGCCCTCGTTTGGAAGTGGTTGCATCAGTTGTTGGGCTACTTGACCAATTATATTTATAT